CACCCTCGGCTACAGGGGCCCTTCCTTCCTTTCCCCGCACGGACCGCCTTCTGCTCACAGAGAACCCCCTGCTCGTCGTAAATGGTGCGTGTGGAGCGGCAGGGCCGCCCTAGTCCACAGTCACCCCGACGATCCCTCATTTCTGTACCGAGAGCTGCCAGGGACGAGGCCAGTCCTTATCACCCAGGACTCCCCGAAATGGGTCCGGTCCGACCCAACTGGGTCACACAAGCTAACACGCCTCGCACATCTATTCACGGAGGAAGTCCACTCTGAGCTGCTGAGCTGTCCGGGGGGGTCACTGCCTTAAAGGCGTCGCTGCGGTCTGACCCCCGGCTGCTGCACTGAGAGGTGCACGGGGATCGGGGAGCAGAGCGGTTCCCGCACCGGCCCCCCTGGTGCCTCCGAGTCCAGGGCCGCTGCTCACCCCCAAACACGCCAACATCCCGCCCATTCCCTGCTCAGGAGCTGACACCGGAGGCTCGGGGCTCGGGGTCGGAGATGCGAGCGGTTTCCACGGGGAACGTGGTGCAGGAACGCCGCCGTTGTGCCCATCACCGGCCAGTCCCTGGCGACAGGCCCGCCCCTTCGCTCTCCTCTCTCCTTCAAGTGCCTCGGGCCAGTGACCTTGACCCGCGGAGGGGCCCTTTCCGGTCCCATGTCAGAGGCCCAGGAACCTACAGGCAGCCCAGCACAGACCCCGTGACCGGCTTCCTGCGGCCGCGGCACAAAGGAGACGGTTCATGGGGCGGCTCGCAGGGGCCGGCTGAGCGGGATGTCCCGGGTCCTTCCTGCCGCCGCGAGGACAAGCAGCGCCATCGTTAGGGGAGCACAGTGGCCGATGGGCGGCCCGTCCCTCTGCGAGGGCTTCAGGCGGAGCTGGGCGTTGATGCTGGGGCGACTGCGACATGTTTCCGTGCAGCTCCTCGCTGGTCCCGCCCCCCCGCTGGCAGGATTCTGCCCATCGTCCTGCGGGTCACGGGTCATTGCAGGGGAAGAGCAGGAAACAAGGTTGCAAGGCAACTCCGGAGCTGGGGACGCAGCCTGCGGGGCCCAGCCGC